CAGCATATATTGTTTATAGAACATAAATCTGGTAACTAACTTTTTCTTTAATCATCAATGAACATACTTTTTACATCACAACCATAACAACAACAATATCTTGGTTAAAATCGGTGTCACCTGACGAGTATCAAATCCGGCTCAAAGGACCAAATCTATGTCAACCTCTCAATATAATTATTGTGCTGGTGCAATCTGCAACGTCGCATCCACGCAGTAAACCCGCGAAATCGTCCTCGCTCGGTTGACAACAACGTAACGTAGACGCGGTCTTTTTTTTTGCGAAACAGTTGCCGTCTGCGCCAAGCCAACATGGCGGCCGCCGTACAACACGATCGCAGGAGAGTAGAGGTCATGGCGGTCACGTGACCCCGTTTCGTACACCGCGTGACGTAACGGCCCGTTGCAGGGGCCGCGTTCGCGGCGGGTCGGATGCGATCGGCGGACTCCGTCGAGCAGGAATGCGACCGCGGCCAGTTTTTCTGACGTCGAGTGTTTTTAATATAGCAGCGGCAGCCAACGGAAGTGTCGTCACGCGCTGGCGCTGTTGTCAATTTTTGCGGAAATCTAGGGATAAATGGGGAAAGAGGAAAAAGAGGTGTTGCCATTAAACGTGTTAGGACGCTCCCTCTTTAAATATATTGTAAATGAAGATTGAATTAAGCAATAAAGGTTTTTATCAACTGACCATCGTAAATGTAAATTTTATAAATAAATGATGGACAACCATAAGTAATGGCCTGTTGAATTTTAAATTAACTGAAATAAGCACAAAATTGGGGCAGATTATAAATAGAACAGTTAACCTACATTTGGCAACAACACACTGTGCCAAGGCATGCATTTTTATAAATAATAGAGTAAAATAACTTTTAATTGTAAACAAAACTGAGAAATCATCCAAAAAATCTTTGTTAACAAATTAACCCAAATATTTGCATTCATTCGGCAAAACTTTGCATAGGTTCCAAGCATCCAAGCTACCCCAAATTATGATGAGTCAGTTAGTTGAAATGTTCTATCGAAGTCCCAAACAACCTGTATATCGTTTTTAAGTCACTTACTTTCCATTCTTCCGGTATTTCATGTTTAACTATGCTTGTTTGAAATAGTCTTTTCCTACAGCCGTGCGGAAAAATCAATTTTCCGCACTGATATGCGTGCGGAAAATGAGTTTTCCCGCACGGTGCGGTAAAACTTTTTTTTTTGACATATCAGTGCGGAAAAAGTTTTTCCGCACGGCTGTCAGTGCGGAAAAAATTTTACCGCACTGATATGTCAAAAAAAAAAAGAAAAATTTTACATTTTTTCGCCTGTAGGAAAAATATTGTACCTAACAAGTGCGGAAAATGAATTTTTCCGCACGCGGCTGCCGTTCACCGAACGACGCGTAGCGGAGTTCGGCGATGCTATTAGCTATTTTAATGTTGTAAGTTTATTGTCTCTATAAATAGGTACTTCCTCAAACTCGGTGCGTTTTTCTGTTAGTAATTCTTGAAAATATTCCTCCTAGGGCGTTATTCGTGGTGATAATTTCTTCAATTTTTGTTGTCTTGATGTTTTTTACTAGGTCTCCACTCCACCTATACCTGTTTTACCATCCAGATTCCAGATAGGCATTGGCTATGCGTAGAGTTCATAGTTCCCTTTTCCAAACTCGTGTTTTCTGTACTATTTAATTTTGTACATTTGCTTGTGCTTGCTTATGGGCCAGTGGAAACTTTCCACCCCGATTTTTTGGATTTGAAATTAAAATCTGGAAAAACGCTCGGACACGGCGATTTTTGATTGGAGGGGGAACTATTCTTTAGTTTTTTTCATCCCCGTAGCTTAAAAAGATAGGGGGAGAACAACCCCCCAAATTTGAATAGGGGGTAGGGGTCGTGTCATACCTCTTTTAAAAGGTCTCATCAAGTTCTTTATGACCCTAGAATTTCGTTTTATCATTTTTATCCGTAATCGAATGACAGCTTGTCGATCTCCTCCGAAATTTTGACAGGCACGTGACTGGATCAGACAGTTTCAATTTACAAATCACGTGCCTGTTAAAATTTCGAATCAAATCGACGAAAAAGATGACAAAAACGAACACGGCTAGTATAGGCCATAGAGGTATAGGCAATGTTCCGCTGCTAATACTAGTTGCTACATGGTACCTACTTATGGAGTTATACAACGTTCCTTTTTTTATCAGAGAAGAAATAATTTTACAAATGAATGAATGACAAATTTTAACTATCGTCAGTATCAAACCTACGCGGTTTTTTCACTAGCCTGCCACTACGAATAAACACTCTAGTCGTCTGTGCTTTTTGGAATGGTGTGTCAGCAATAGAGCAATTTAAATTCGGCGAGTGTGATATACTTGTACTGGATCCAGGATGATCTTCAATTGTCGTAGAAGGAGCGGATGTATTGGGTTCAAATTTTTTTATTAATAAGTGATGCCTATTTCTTCGGTAATCTACATACCATCAGAGGTGCGAACAACATAAGACCTTAGCATTGAACCTTTTTCAGTGACCAAAGCAGGTTCTCAAGATGAGTTTGCGCAGTCTTTTTATACATGACATAGTCTCCTACATTTATATCTGACAAATTTCAGGGACTTTATTCTCGAAACAGGGGAGCAGCGCTCTCATGAGAACGAAGGTTTTGTCTTCGTCGTTCGTATTCATATTTCCATAACACTGACAATGACAGAGCAATTCTTCTCACGAGTACGCTGTTCCTCGGTTTCGAGAATAAAGTTCCTGGCATGTTGATCCATGATAATTTCTCATCTTATTTACCTTCTCTCTAACAAAATTATTGTATTGAACATAATCAATAACTTTTTGCAGTAGCAACAGTTCTTTCCACTAAACTGACTAAACCATTACTTTTGGGATAATTAGGACTAGACGTATGGTGACTTATCATATCCCATGACTGGACAAAGTTCTTGAATTCATTGCGAGTTAAATGGAGGACCATTATCAGATACTATTATGAATGGGATGCCATGATGAGCAAATACTGATTTCAGACTTGTAATGACTTGACTAGCTTGATAGAACCAACCGATGTTACTTCAAAATAGTTAGAAAAATAATGAGCAACTAAGAGATACGCGACTTTATTATAAAAGAAGAAATCCATTCCGACATTTTGCCATGGCAAAGTAGAAGGCTGATGTGGTGTGTACTGTTCTACTCTATTTTTAATTCAACAATCCTTTCTTAATTGTTGGGCCTAAATATGAGTGATTTCAATGCATTTTTAGAATTCTGATACTGACTATCATTATTTATTATTCTTACCACAAATATATCATTATCATTATCTTCGCCATGGTTTTTATTGTTAACATTTTGAACTGATTCTACATCAACATATCTTATATTTTTCTTGAAACAATACTTGGCAAAATGTCCTTCACGCTGACAGTTGTTGCATATAGCATCTTGTGCTGGACATTTATGTCTGTGATTTTAACCACACTTTTCACATGACCTTTGCCTCACCTGTTGTGATGAGTAATTGTTACCTCTGACCCATTGGTTTTGGAACGACTCTTCATTATGATTTTCACCATATCCATGTCCTGGACTTTGATGAAATCCAGACGTTTTTCTTTGTTGACTCGTTAAAAACTGACCAGGATCTCTCTGTTTGTGAATTTTGTAGACAATGACTTCTGAATCCTTTTTTAATTGTTGGGATTGAATATAAATGATTTCAGTGCTTTTGGCAACTTTAATGGCGTTGTCTAATCTAGATTATCCTCTTGTGAAAGTATTTCCTTTATTATTCGATTATTGCCACCTAAACCAACAATAAACATATGCCTAACAAGGCTTTCTCGCAGTTTGTCTGGTTCACATTTGAGGCTCAGGTTTTTGAGTGCTGTCACAAATTCATCGATTGACTCATCAGGCTTCTGACGTCTTGTTAAAAAATTGTGTCTTTCGACTGTTAGGTTTGTTTTTGGATTGCAATGTGCTTCAAACCTATCGACTAAATCCTTATATGCACATGTGTTCATATTTAAATTGAAAGAATTAAAAATAGAGATAGCCTCAGGTCCAATGTAGTGCAAAAATATAGCAATGTTATCATCTTCGTTTTCTAAACCACTTGCTCTCATATAAATTTTGAAATGTTGCAGCCAATTTACCCAGTTACTGGATAAATTACCCTCTAGTGATAATGATGACAAACTATTTCCAGTAAATTTTGACCTAGACGCAGGGACTAGAAGTTCGAGACATATTGGGTATGAATCTGTTAACGTTCTTCAGCGAGACTGCGAATACTCTCCACTGTCTATATGTTATTCCTTCCTATTCCTGGACACTTTCAATACTTATACAGATGACACCAGGCTGTGTTAGTGTCTTCAAGATGAAAGGATAATAATAATAATAATAATATAAGGACTTGTTTTATTAAATTGAAGATGAATAGCTATAAAAATCGTGTAGACCAGCAAAAATGATAGTTGCCAAAAATATGAAGAAGTGACAGAAATTTATAAACGAATACAAAGTAGACCAATCCAGTATACGTTACATTGAATCATATTTGTATGTAATACATTATTTAAATTAATTTGGTTCGTTTAGTGCAGGTTGTAACTACCTATTGTTGTTTTTATTTAATTATACATTGCTCCATGAAAAAGTACTATAATTATTTGGGAAAACCCCGACGAGTTGTTTTTGGCATTCTCAGTTGGATTAACAAGTCTCAACCAGTTTTTTCATTCGTTCGTATAATATAATGTGTACTTCAACCTACCATTTAATGATATTATTGTACCCCAATTGTATATGAGAAAAAAACCATAACTAAATTAAAAACCATTACTTCAAGAATTTTTCAATTTAATAGTTGAGCAACATACGTTATTTATTGGCAATCATTTTAATTATTTATTGCTTAATATTTTTGCAAACAAAAAAAAAATTAAAAAATCGAGTCATACTTGATATATATATATATATATATTTTTACAGTACCAGTTTCAATAGCATCCACAAACGGCTCGAGTAATTCTCCCCACAATAGAACTGGCTCGCCCCCGGACGCTAACGCAACAGCTCCAGGTGCGCCTCAGCAGGTTCAATCTCAACCTGGTTCAGGACAGAGCCCCATGGCCGCTCTAATGTCCGTAGCCGATAATTTGCCACCAGGAAGCCCTCGATCGACTGGAGGTAGTCCTCCGAGTAATACTGTTCCCAGAAGTGCTAGCAGGGGTAGTCAGCATTCACCAAATTCTACAGGTAAGAAACGGAATAACTAAATAACTGTTTTGTAATGAAACACGTTAATAAACAAAAATTAAAACTGTAACGAGTATACATATGTTAACTCTTGCTTTCAGCGTAAGCATTAACCATTAATAATGACCTCGTGTAGCTGTACTAGACATTCTAGGATAGTTTTTGTGGTTACCAAGTACCGTTACAATCGCGAGTTCTTGAGAAGTATCTCGATAAGGTACCGTTAATGGTATGCTTGTGTAAAAGGAGAAAAAAAAACTTTGATTAATTAACGGATCATTCAGAGTAAAGTTGTTGATTGGATATGGTTTATGCTTAATAGGACTTTTGCAAAAAATAATGTCAGTGACTTCTACTTCGAAGGCTATTCATAAATTTTTATGGTGACTATCGTCTTGGTATGATTAGGACAATCTCTGTTGGAACTAAATCTGATTGAAAAAAAAAATTATTAGATAAAAAAATTAACTTATTTCAATTAGGGTATTTTTCAATTTTATTCGAAGCTATAGGGCTTCATATTGTTACGTATGCGAGTTGGTACATAGGTGAGACTACTCTTCCAAAATTAATTTAGCTTTCGGTATGGCCTAAGCCGTTAATTAAACCTCTTCTGCTTCTTTGTGGCTGAGGAATAATTTCTGATATTTTTGTATCAATTCTATTCTGTGTTATTTTTAACAAATGTATATATGTAATTGCTAATGTCTTCAGAGGGCTGGAACTCTGTAAGGAATAGAGATATTTTCTTTATCTCTATTGACGTCTCCTCTCTATTAATTTCGACTAGACAGAAGAAGACAGCAAGTGCCATAGCGATAGGGATAACGATCTCTATCCGTTACAGAGTTCCAGCCCAGAATAGTTTTGATGCCCATTAAGAATGTTTGGGTTAGTTATTTTGCAATTTTCAAAACATTCGATAAATTCTTGGTTGTATTCAATCTTAGCGCCTTTCTTCAAGCATTTCGTGTGAGGTCTTGTGATTTTTGCAAAATTATCTATAAAACGTCTATAACATCCAAGTAGTCCGAGAATGCCTTTAATTTGTTTTGTAGTTTTTCGAAAACTTTGGAAAACCAATTTCAGTCTTTCTAAGTGCTCTTGTAGCGACGTGGAAAATACAATGAAGTCGTCGAGGTATACTATCCATGGCCCTTTGGATAGTTGCGGGGCGTTGTTCAGCCCAAATGGCATACGCAGAAATTCGTAATGGCCATTTTCCGTATTGAATGCGGTTTTCTCTATGTCGTTTTTATTCATCTGTATTATTGGGTTCAAGTCGTAATAATGTATCAGGGTGTAGGTGTAATCTTTGATATTCGCGTACCCTAATTTGACTGGAATTATTCCGCGATTTTCATCCAATTTTCTGATGATTATTTGTTCTTGAGTTCCAAGCGCGCAGACAAAAAAGCTGAAATATAATACTTAAGCCCGGTTTATTCATCTTCAGATAAACTATCTGCAAGATAAATTTAACGTTCTATAATTTTAGTCGGCCAGTTATCCGCCGATCAATCAGATTACAGGTTGGGTTGCGTTTTTATCCTCCAAATTGCATACCTACCTGACAATTTATCAAAAGGTGAATAAACCAGCCCTTAGTGTTATAAAGCTAATAAGCAAGCGTACGATATAAAATGCATGTAAAATATGTAGTTAATTAGAGTAATTTTAATATAATATTTTTATTCTTAAAACTAAGTGTCAAAACTATATTTATTTCTCAGGGGACGTTCAATGTTACCCATGTGTATCTTGAATATCTTCCTGTGTGTCGTTGCTGTTTTGCGTACTGGGTCAACGGTTTGAACTTGCATTTGAGGTGTAAACTTATCGGTTATTTTTTGACGTGTATGTTTTACAATGTATATTTTTTGTTCTGAGTGGAATAATGTTGGTTTATCGGAAGTTTCAATTTCAATTTCAATTTATTAACAACAAACTCCAAGTATAAAATATATGATATAGATATGTTATGGTGAATATGCAAACTTGGCTGGTTTGTAAACTAGCTGGATAGTTTACAAACTAACCAACCCCTTGGCTATTTTGATAGAAAACACAATTTTCACTAAAATAGCAGCTAGTTTGCAAACTAACCAACAGTCTTGGCTAATTTACTTGAAATTATTGAGGAAACTAAAATAGCTGGTTAGTTCATAAACTATCCAATGCAGTTTGGCTAATATGAAAACCATATTTTCTAGTAACACAAAATAGCCAAACCTTTGGTTAGTTTACAAACTAGCCAACCAATTTTCTGGCTAATTTACAAACAAAGTTAGGTTAAAGAATTTGAAGCTTCTTCAATAGATCTGTATAATAATAAAGCAAATAATTCCCAACTTTATAACGAAGGAAATCTGGCAAATTTTCACTAAAATAGCAGCTAGTTTGCAAACTAACCAAAAGTTTTGGCTAATTTACTTGAAATTATCGAGGAAACTAAACTAGCTGGTTAGTTTATAAACTATCCAATGAAGCCTGGCTTATTTGAAAACCATGATTTCTAGTAACACAAAATAGCCAAACCTTTGGCTAGTTTGTAAAATAACCAACCAATTTTCTGGCTAATTTACAAATCAAGTCTAATGTTCATGGTATTTCTTATTCGATAATTAGAGATGAATAAAATGAAAATTTTTGCTTTTTTCTTTTCTACCTGGCAATTCTCACATCCATCGAGGAACAAAGTTACAATTTCTTGAGTAATATTTGAATGTTTTTGATTTATTAGCTTTGTTGTAACTTGCCTTTCGCCGTGCCCAGTTGATTGGTGGAATTCTTTAATAATATCAAACAAATCGTCCATACACTACTACTATTTTGCCAGATTTCCTTCGTTATAAAGTTGGGAATTATTTGCTTTATTATTATACAGATCTATTGAAGAAGCTTCAAATTCTTTAACCTAACTTTGTTTGTAAATTAGCCAGAAAATTGGTTGGCTAGTTTGTAAACTAACCAAAGGTTTGGCTATTTTGTGTTACTAGAAAATATGGTTTTCATATTAGCCAAACTGCATTGGATAGTTTATGAACTAACCAGCTATTTTAGTTTCCTCAATAATTTCAAGTAAATTAGCCAAGACTGTTGGTTAGTTTGCAAACTAGCTGCTATTTTAGTGAAAATTGTGTTTTCTATCAAAATAGCCAGTGGGTTGGTTAGTTTGTAAACTATCCAGCTAGTTTACAAACTAGCCAAGTTTGCATATTAACCGTAACAGATACAATAAGTAACATTTATCTAGCCTACATCTAATTACGTCTAACATACAATCAGAGAAATAAAAAAATGCAGTATGTCACACGGAAAAAACACTCCACTATAGTAAAGAATAGTAGCGTTTGCCCAAGAATATATTCGTTTTACTATTCCACAAGAAAACATTATATTTAATTCTAGTATTGCCCTATTCTTAAGAATTGAAAATAAGTTCAACTTATATTTAGAATACGGTAGTGTCGAATTCGAGAATAGCCTAGTAATTGTTTAAAGAATAAGGTAGATTTGACGTATAAGTTTTTCATTGATGGTTGAATATAAGAGTTTAGACTTATTTTCATGTTTTGTGACATAATCTGTCAATAAAAATTGGTCTTACTTTCAGCTTTAAGTCAAATGGATCATTTAGGCTAATGTGTCCTGAGATAACATCTATTGGTTTGAATTTAGTCACCGAATGAATGGTGTGATTATATGCTAGGAATGCATATTTTATTTTTTGGCTGATAGGTGTCTTTAGGAAGCCACGATTATTTAGAATTCTTACGTGTTCAAATAAGGTGGAGTGTAATCTCTCAATAACACCGTTTGACTAAGGATGAATTTTTATTTTATGAAGTTGTAGTAATTCTGTGACCACTATATTTTTAAATTCAGTTCCGTTGTCTAAAATGATTTTGAATGGAACACCGTGATGTGAAAAGAACTATATTAAATCATCGCTAATTTCGGTGACTGATAATTAATTTAGAGCGTCAGCTTGTCCATACTTGGAAAAACTGTCAATAATTCTGAGAAATTTAACTTTATCTAATGTCTATGTATCAGGGTGAATAGTTTCGAAAGTTTGGTTGCCGTGGGTGTAATATTCATTTCCATGTTTAGTGGGTGCCGTTCGTATTTACTTCATTGGCATATTTCGTATTCATTGATGTACGACTGAATAGACTCTTTAAGATTTGGCCAGAATACTTTTCTTTAATACGTGTTGTTCGGTTTCCTCGATTCTGCGATGGTTCGTCTCATGGTAGTTCTGTATTAATTCCGGTATACCTACTTCGTTTGTCTACTATATCGATTAATTTTTTCAAACATCTTTCAATTCTCATCATGGGCCATTTAAATTTTTTTCTAACCACTTCGCAGAATGGTTCAATATATCCGGGTTCTCAGTCAAAGTAAGCATAGTATAATTTACCTAGCACAACGTTTTCCTTTATAAAATTAATTGTATCATTTTCAAAATCATTTTCTTATATTTGAATTAAAAATTTTCTCTAGTTTTCAAATAAAATTAGTCGTTCTGTTTTGGCAGGTGAGTGCATGACCTTTGTGACGATTATTTGATTTGCTCCATAATTAACAGCAGTTTCTTCAATTGGTATTCCAACAATAATGCCTTGTTAAGCATTAGTATGGATATTTTCATCATCGTCTTCAGCTGTTGGTTCGAAGTCAGGTTGCGCCATAGTTGATATTTGGTCTAGGTTCTCCATCTCTTTGCTGGTCATTAGGTTATTTTCCGTTCTAGCTTCTTCCTCTAATTCCTTATTGAATTCTTCAATATGATACTAAATTCGATATATTGCCGGTTTCTTTGGTGCGTAATTCAATACGGTTAGGGCCTAAAAGTATGCAAAATTGTTCATTGCCAGAATGCGCTTATACTAAAGATACTATAGAAAAACTATCAAGAAGTTTCTATGTTGACAATTGTGTCTCAAGTGTGCAGAGCTATGAAATTTTGGATACATTTATCAAGGAGTCCACAGAAGTTATGACAAAGGCACAGTCTGACCTTCGTGGATGGGAGTTTACTGGAAATTGGGCCAGCATAGAGGACCGAGTTTCGGTCCTTGGATTAAATTGGTACCCAAAAAAAGGACGTCATTACGCTCAATCAAGACTTAACAGCATTAGAGGCAGGAAAAACATGATTGTGACGGCATTTGTATTGAGTTTACCCTTTTTATAAATAATTTGATAATCAAACTCTTGTAGTTTGATTCACCAACCTGCCATTTTCGATGTGGGGTCTTTTAAATTGAAAAGCCATTGCAAGAACTTATGGTCCGTTATGATATTGAATTTTTGTCCGTAAAGGTACGGTCGGAAGTACTTTGTCGCCCAGACACATGCACTTCTTTTCAATAGTGGAATAATGTTGTTCTGAATCATTCAAGGTGCGAGATGCGTAGGCTATAGGCAAATCTTGTCCAATGGGCCCTTGTGATAACACAGCACCTAGGGCTACGTTACTACTAGCATCACATGTTAAGTTAAATGTCTTCGAAAAATCTGGGTATTGTAGTACAGGTTCATTTACAAGGAATTTTTTGCAATTTTCAAAACATTCAATAAATTCTTGGTTGTGTTCAATCTTTGCGCCTTTCTTCAAGCATTTCGTGTGAGGTCTTGTGATTTTTGAAAAATTATCTATAAAACGTCTATAACATCCAAGTAGTCCGAGAAAGCTTTTAAATTGTTTTGTAGTTTTTGTAAAACCGTCGTTCTAAGTGCTCTTGTAGCGACGTGGAAAAAAAAATAATGTCGCCGAGGAATATAATACATTTTTCGTTCTGGATTTCTCGTATTATACTATCCATGGTCCTTTGGAAAGTTGCCGGGGCGTTCTTCAGCATACGCAGAAATTCGTAATGGCCATTTTCCGTATTGAATGCGGTTTTCTTTATGTCGTTTTCATTTATCTGTATCTGGTGGAATCCGCTGGCCAAGTCAAGTGTAGTAAAGTATTGACATTTTCCTAATTTGTCTAATATGTCGGTTATATTCGGTAGGGGGTATCTGTCTGTTATGGTTTTTGCATTAACGCCACGAAAATCTACTACTACTCTCCATTTCTGCTTTCCAAAGTTGCTTGGGCGAATGCTTTTTTGGTCCAACATTTTTTTCATCTGTGATTTGACCTCTTTTTTATGTATAAAAGGGTATCTATAGGTATTACTATATGTATACAGGTTGTTCATCAGTGGTTTTATTTGAATCTCTTATTCCACTTGTAAATGTCAGTGGCATGTTTTCTCGATAAAATATATCTGAGTATTCTTCACATAATTTGGTGATTTTCGATTTTTCTTCTGCATTCAGATGATCAGTGCGAATTTGAGAACAGTCAAAATTCGGTTCGCAATCAAGTGAGTCTTGGAAATTATTTATATTTATTTTTTTCAATTCTTCTCGATTAAATGGCTCTACCTCAAATGGTTGCGAAATATCAAGGGTTATTGACTTACAAGTGTTATTTAAAATGCTAGTAAAAGCATAACCATTTTTTGCTATACTCAGCGGGTTTGGAATTTCGCAGTTATGTATCCTCTGATAAGGTATAATAACCTCGCCGTCTTGTATATCAGTCGAAGAGAAACAGTCCCATTATATAGTGATGTGTCAGTTTTATGGAACTGCAACTTAATTCTTGTGTATGAGGTTACTAGAAATCCTGTATCAAAATTAATATTAGCTTGTAAGTAATTGTGTTCTGGGAATGTAATGTATAGCAGCTCGCTTGTAGCAGCATTATTTAACGATATTATATCAGGTGTTAAGTTTGGGGATTTTCCGAGTCATGTTTCAGAAAATTTGCGTTATTTTAAGAGTAACCAGTTGCATTATTGTCATCAGCAGATTCAGCATATTGGTGGGTTATAACTAGACTCGGAATCATGAAGCTGGTCAAAATTAGATGAATCGTAGTATGTATAAGGATTCTGTGTCACTTTCGTTAGTGTCAGCATGAGGTTCCTTAACGTCATCAACTACATTCGTATTATATAGCTCTTCAGCTATGAAATTACTTGGTTGGTTGGACTGGACATAATTTCTAGAAGGTTGTTGAGCATTAGCATTAAAAGTTTGTTTCGAAGTTGTTGACATAGGAATAGGTTTTGGAAAAGTTCTATTTTGATTAGGTTTAAATACATTTGTTGAGTTTGTGTTGGATTTATTTTTGAATAGTTAGGAATTGGTAGGGATTCTTTGTGGGATTTTGTTATAATTTGGTCTTATAGCAATAGGCTGAGATGGAAATGTTGGTTCAGCCGTTAATAAATTGTTAGATGTTTGGATATTAAATCCTGAGTTAACATATGTGTTTCCAAATTGTGTGTTTGCTTTATTGTGTTGTATGGTTTTTTGTGTATGAGGTTTAGAAAAATTCTGTAAATATTGAGAGTTATATTCATCAGTAACAAATTGTAGAGCTTGCGGAAGGTCTCGTGGACGCATGCAACGAATTGTCATACCTAATGGTTCCCTTAGGCCCGACAAGAATGTTTTTAAAGCTAAATCATTGTATAAATTCCGTTTCCAAATTATTCGGATTTTCGTCAAATTGTGGTACACAGCTTAGGTACTCTGGCTTGAAATGAGCCATATTGTTAGAGTTTAAATTCGGAACAATGCAAATGTTTTGATCATCAAAAGAAGTGCTTTCAGCACCGTTACTTTCAGAAAATGTTTGATCAATTATTCTAATTAAATCTTCCTAATTAGAAGATGAGTCAGTTGAAGGCGGTTGTGATAAATTATTTAATTTATCAATTATTTCATCTACGTCAGATATAAGTTAAATTACACTTACAAACTGAATGAGAAGAATTTCATTGCTAGAAGGCCTAGACTTTTGGTTGGCGATAATGTCCGTCCAAATGGTTCTTGGTCCTTGTGAGATTTAGACAATTTGGTTCCAAACTCCGATTACTCCGAGGTAACAGGTTCACAATGAACTGGGTGATTCGATATCTAGAAAGCCAATCTGACACCTCACAGTAAACAATTAATGTAGGTCCGTTTTTTCCGGTTAGTCCGAATATCGAAGAACCGATAACCAGTCCCGAAAAAACACGTTCTGTCGACTGCGCCAGTTAAAAAGTCAAAAACCGACTAAACCGAGGGTAGATTTTTAATAGTATATTACAATCCGAGACGGGAAATTAGCTATTACTGTCGAGAGATTGTATAGTTTATCTATGATCAAAAAAATTCTGGTTAAAAATTTAATCTCTGGTTAAATTCAAAGTTGGTGTCAAATGATAGTTTATGAAAATCTATGACAATAATGTAAGAACGGTTTTCCTCTAAAATTAACCGTTTAGGTTTTACAGCCTGTCAAAGTTGCAAAAAAGTCAATTTTCAACTGTCAATATTTCCAAAATAGTTGAACTTAGGTATTGAAATTTGCTCGGAAATTTGGTACAAAAATGTATGGAATTAAAAACCCTTCAAAATGATGTATCACTTGACCCCTCTTCCCATTTAAGATTTTCTAGGGGATGGGTTGGGGGGTTGAAAAAGGGGAGGTGAATTTTGCATAAAAACTCATCCCCCTTCAAATTATACTTGACATGTTTCAGGGATTTTTTTGAAAATTTTTCTACTCTGAGATAATAGGGGTGGGAAGTTTTCAAGTTGACACCCTGTATGTATTTATAATAAGCTGTAAAGCGAAATAAGCATTTTAAATGAGGACTCGTGAATTTTCTAGTCACCATGCATTGAAACAAGACTGCACAATTTCCCCAACTTGAGAGATTTATAACAATATTTTGAAACATAAAAATCCATAGAAAACTGATCATGTTGCCTTTTGTAAATATATATTATTTATTCATCATATTCTTGCAGCTGGTTCAACAAGTGGTCGAAGATCCAGTGGTTCTCGTCACGTCAGCTCTACAACAGTAACGTCAACGGAAGCTGGCGCTATGGCTAACAATAACGAAGCTTTGCCTGGAACCAACGAAAGTGTAACTGCAGCTACTACGCCAGCGGCTACAGCCACGCTGAAATGCACCTTGTGCCAGGAGAGGCTGGAAGATACGCACTTCGTTCAGTGTCCTAGCGTACCGCATCATAAATTTTGTTTCCCTTGTAGTCGGGATAGTATTAAGAGGCAAGGAGCTGGGTCTGAGGTAAGAATTTGTGTCTTTTTTTTCATAATGTGCAATGGTAACATGTTCTTTTTGTTTTAGGTATATTGTCCTAGTGGTGAAAAATGCCCATTAGCAAACTCCAACGTTCCCTGGGCTTTCATGCAAGGCGAAATTGCTACGATTTTAGGCGAAGACTACAAAGTGAAAAAGGAAAGAGAACCATAAAGTCATCATTTAAGAACCATGGGTATAAAAAAAAAATTCATGAAAAAATTGTTTTGAAGCCATAAAACTAATGGTATGAAGTGGCGATTGTTCGATGTTTTTAAAAAGCCTGGATTTATGGAGAAGAGAAACGTGTATAAAGTGGGATAAAATGGCTGTGGAATTTTAGTTGTTAACGTTGACGGAATCGGAAGCTTTGCGCGAATGGAAAAAGTCGAATTCCGTCAATTGTACCGAATTTAATAGGGCTATAATATCGCCGAAAGTTTTGTAAATAAAACAGTGAAACAGTAGAAAAAAAACGAGAGTATAATTATATAAAATATTTTGATTTTTTTTTTCCAGAGACGTTGCCTCCTTTAATTTGCCGAAATTATTGCATCGTGAACTTTATTATTTTATTTTTCCTTGTATATAAATCGTAAAATGTACAAAATTATTGTTTTATTTGTTATTTTTTAATTTGTTTTAACATTTATTGTATATTATATTTGTGCATAAGAGGCATTTTTTTTTTTCTGAAAAACAATATAGAACCTCTATTTTAATGGAGCTGTAAATATTATATATTTGTTGGCTTATAAAGTTGTACAATGGCGACAGTAATCGGATAAGTAATATCCGTTTTAAATTTTATTGTCGCATTAATTTGTAATTTGTATGTAATGAAAATATATACTTTTATTTTTTGACTTCTCAAGCCTGGTCAAAGCTTATTGTGTATAACACTAGTTTAAATGTTTCACACAATAAATTTTGACCAGAGAACTGAGGTTTAATTTTTTTTTAAGGTGGTACATAATATGGGCCATAGATGAATAATTGTTAATTATTTTAAATGTGAAAAAGTATAAACTAGTCAAAAAAAAAAACGCAAGGTTTACTAGGACTTTGCTTAATAGGAACTCCGACACTCGCTCATAATTTTTAAGAAGAGTATTTAAACATTTCTTAATATTTAACTAACAACTGGTCAATATACTATGGCTTAAACCTGGGATTTTCATTGTACAAAAAAATATACAGGGTGTAAAATTGTCAATTCTATGTGCTTTTTATATACACTCTGTATATTTTGAATTTTTAATTGTGAACAATAAAATGTTGGTCTTAAAACAAATTGTGACCTTTGGAATTAATAACATTTTAATAAAAAAATTGTGAAATAAAGTTGTTTTTGTGTACCTCACAACCAGTTATGTAGAGACATAATTCTAGTGTAGACCTTTTTTTTAATGGCTTCTCAGTAAAATAGCTTGATTGTGACGATCAATGCTGTTTTTCCGAGTAGTCAAATTTTGTATAAAAAAATTGTAATAAGAAATAGAAATTGATCATATGAGTTAACTTGTAGAAAGTTTTTTTTCTCCTCCAGTGAATAAATATTTATTAATAATTTGTGATGAAAAACCGCGAATTGTTTGATACTGTAAATTTATCGTATTGACAATGTCAGAATTGTACATTTTTTTAGGAGTCGTTACTTTCAACGACTGAAAAAGATTTATAATAAATAATAATATATGAATTATTGCGTAAGGCTTGTACAATCCGTTTTTTGCTGTTAGTCGATGTCAGATAATAAAGAGTCTGTAATACATTAGACAACTGGTTGGTTGTATTATTTTTGCCCTTTCTCTCCTACAAAAAGAAGGTAGCGTTACCAGTCACAAATTACGCGGGTATACTGAAATAGTAACAATAAATAACAACTTTTATTGTACTAATTAGGTTTGAATTAATTCAACAATTTTCCTATTTAAACTGATGCACAAAAAAAATTGTTGGAAAATAAGAGGTTGAAGCTTGACTCCCCATCATTTCTTGCAAGATTTCGGGTGTTTAGCTGATGCTGCAGGTTAAACTTATAATAATTTGATGCTATCATAAATTTTGTTACACTTAACTGTTCGTTCCAGTGTCAGAAGTTTACTCTCATTAAACAATAAATCTGTTGAGTATTGTTTATTTTTGAACAACATTATTTTAATTATAAATTTTTGGATAATGAGCAGTGGCTCCCGAGTTGTTTTACTAGCACTTCTTCATACAACCAACCCATAATTAACAACGGACTCGAAAAATGAAAGATATACCATTCTAAGAATTTTAGTTTGTAGTATGTTTCTTAATTCATAAAATTTCTGAATCAGTTAGTAGGTAGTTTACAGGGGTTTTGGCTCAAAACAGAGATGAGACAAAGAGACACTCCCCCTACAACTCAAGATACAACCATCCCTCTACCGCGCCCTCTATCCCTCTACCGGGTTACTCAAGATAATACACACAACCATCCCCCTATATTTTGTGCTGGTTTTAAGCTGGTTTTTTGCTTGTTTTGTTCTGGATTTTGGTAGTTTCGTGCTAGTTTTCACTGGTTTCGAGCTGGTTTCCACTGGTTTCGTGTTGGTTTTTACCTGACTTGGAAGGGGAATTGCATGAGATCGAAACTATAGGGGGATAATTTTGGGAATATTGCGGTGGTAGGATATTTGATATTTGAGGTATTTTTTTGGGAGCGCGATAGGGGGATACAGGGCGCGGTAGGGGCATGGTTGTGTGTAGTATTTTGAGTGACCCGGTAGGGGGATAGAGGGCGCGGTAGGGGGATGGTTGTATCTTGAGTGGTAGGGGAGTGTCTCTTTGTCTCGTCTCTGTTTTGAACCAAAACTCCCGTAAACTACCTACTTCAGTTTTCTAATCTTATTTGTAACATATTCGACTTGTTTTTTCCAGTTTATATTTTTCATCAATGGAAACCCCCAAATACCTCAAAAATGCTTTACGTTCAATCCTTAATTTACAATTACATTGTCCCGATTTACAACCCGGGTCATGAATTTTTAGATATTGGATACTGGGTAAATTCCTCTGGGTCAGTCCGAAAGCAATAAATTTCGTTTTATCTACATAAAGCGACAATAAGCTATGGTTCAATCAGCTTTTCAATTTCGTAAGTAATAGAATTTTCTGCTTTTTTCAATACTTGTTCCCAGTTGTCACCACTCACTATCAGGGACGGGGCCATGGAGGGGGTTGGGGGGGCGACGCCCCCCCCAAAGTTCCTAAAATATATCGAAAGTTGGGAAAATTTGGATAAAAAATTTAAAGTTGGGAAAAATTGGTAGACAAAAATTTGCGCACCTTATTTGCGAGGACTAATTATTATTATTATTGTCTTTCGAGAAATACTTAAGAATGAAGTTAACTGACTTTTCAGAATCCATCGGTGTAATGTCTGGAGGCCCGTTAATGGTACCACTAGTGGAAATTATTATTCCTGGAATTATGAGCTTGATATGTTGTTGGATTTAGATTGAAAAGTAGAGTTTATTAGGCATAAAATAATAAAAACTCGACCATTTGAAAAAACAAAGTTGATGATGATCGCGAAGAAACGAAACGTCTGATCAAAAATCTAATAACATTATCATGTAGTGGAGAAAAAGTAGCAAATAAAGTCAGAAAAAAATAAAAACCATTTCGGCAAAATTCGGTTTTTCATGGATATCTTCGGAATATGTAATTCGGAATTTACGAAATATCAAAACATGACGCCACTGAGCTCAGTAATGCGCAACTCTTTCCAAATTTAACCAACCCTATATCTCTTATGGTTGCCGAGATCAGACTGCATCCTTATCCGGGACACCCTGTATACCTATCAAACTTTTTATCAGTTTTTGAAGTGAAACTTCTTAGGCGGCGGTCTGATATTTAGACAAGAATATGGAGATGGAGAGTGATTTGAAAAACGCATCACGTAACGTCACGTTTTGGCAAATTTCGTTACACGAGAGATGAGAGAGAAGGAATATATAGTAGACTATAGAGAGACGGAGAAAGCGAGCCAATGGGTACATTCAGGCGGTCCCAGCGGCTAAGCTCAGCCACTCAGCAGGAACTTTATTCTCGAAACAGGGAAGCAGCGTTCTCATTGGAACGAAGGTTCTGTCTTTGTCGTCCTAGCAATCGTTCTTATGAGAACACTGTTCCTTGGTTTCGAGAATAAAGTCCCTGATGAGTGGCTGAGCTTAGCCGCTGGGACCGCCTGAATGTACCCAATGACAATCACAGACGAGGAACGATTAACACAAACCAAGGTTTATAAGCAAAGAGGAATGTCTATTGTTGTCAAGCGCAGATACCCTTGTGACGTCACTATAGATGCGTGTCTCCCTTTTGTGTGGCCTTTCGTCTTGCCTTTCGTCTTTACCCCGACTCATACGCTAAGTCTTAAAAGCTGTATGAGGGAGGGTATAGTTTTTAAAAAGTTTCACCTCCCAACACGTGCACAATGCGCTGCACATGATTTTTCTTAAGTGAAACTTCTTGTAAAGTGTTTTGAAAGACGCGTCACGTTAACGTAACGACACGTTTTGGCAAATTTCGGCACACGAGGGACGAGAGAGAAGAAAGATATAAAGTAGACAGAAGGAGAAAGACAGCCAATGACAATGATGAAATACCTCGACTCATGCGCTATGTCTAAAAGTTGTATGAGGAAGGGAATAGTTTTTAAAAAGTTTCACTTTTTAACACGTGTACGATGCTATATATGATTTTTTTTATGTTTCAAAAAAGTTGGGAAAATTAGGAATGTCACCCCCCCCCCCCCCCCCCCCAAACCAGAGGCCTTCGCTACGTCCCTGCTCACTATGACGGCAGTGTCATCTGCAAAGCAGAAAACACGGCCCCCATCAATCACTGATAATATTTCATTCATATAAACTAAAGAGAAATGAGCCAAGAACAGTACCCAGCGGCATACCCATCCCCAGCTCTCGAGAATCACTTACAGTTTCACCAATTTTCACTCGCTGTGTTCTCTTTGTGAGATACGATTTCAATAAGTCATTTGCTATACATCGAAGCTGGCCCAGCACTTGTTCTGTAACTTTGCACAAAGCATCCTCTGTACTAATCCCTTTCCTAAAAGTAAATTGATTTTTTGATAAAGTATTGTGTTTCATGAAAAAGTTGGTTAGCTTAAATTTCATACATTTTTCGACTAGCTTGCTAACTGTGCTTATCAAGGCTATGAGTTGGTAGTTAGATAATACTTTTTTGTCTTTTTTATCACCCTGCTTGTAAACGGCACAACTATAGCCTCTTTGAGAATTGCTGAGTAAACACTCGTACAGAAGATGCTATTAATGATGTGAATTAGAGGCTCTAAAAAGATGAACATGATTTGCTTTCTAGATTTCCGAAGGGATCCCATCCTCTCCGCCCTGAACATTATTATTTTTTAAAGTTTTAATTTGCTGTATTATTTCAATCCTTGCCACAGGAGTAAGAAAGAACGTTTAGAAGTTAGAAATTGGTTGTCTGAAGCAATCGTGAACTTGATTTAATTTAATTTTCTCAGCCAACTTTTCTCCAATACTCGTAAAATGATAATTGAATTCACAAGCTATTAAGTTTGGGTCTTCTATCTCTATATCATTGTTATTTTGAATACTTGTGATTTCACACTTACAGCTTAGATCATTCGTGGCCTTCCTAATTATATGCCAAGTTTTTTTTGAGTCATTTATGCATCCGTTCAATTTTGTTTTGGATTTTGGATTTTCAAGAGACCAGGGCCGGTATTCTGGTCCTCGAAAACGCTCAGCGCTTTTCAGTCGCTCGGCACTTCTAATGTAAATTTACATTAAAAGTGCCGAGTGACTAAAAAGCGGTGAGCGTTTTCGGGAACGAGAATACCGGCCCAGGACTGATCTAAGGTTTTATTCTATGATTTCTATTACTAATCCTATATTCAGATGTTCACTGTTCAATAATATTTTTCCCTATATCAATAAATCTATCTGTACAAATCTTAGCATCGCTGCTATTAATTACACCACCCCAGTTTGCCTCCGACAAAAGACGCGATAACTCCTCATAATTTATTTTCTTTTTGATTTGTTTCAGCTTCTTATCCTGGTTGTTAGTTGTATCAATAAGGGTTGTTTCAAACTTTACATTCAGCAAAATGGGGTAATGATCTGAGGAATCCCTAGTTAGCATGACAGAATTAATCTTTGCATATGTTTCACTCTTACATTTGACAAAAAGGTGTATGTGATTGATGTATGTAGATGATAGACTCTTAGCTTCAACCAACGAAAAATAAAAGGATTCCTTCTTAGAAAGTTTACGAAAAGAATTTAAAATTACTATTAAACCAGCTTCTTATTTTTTGGGTTTAGAAATTAGAAGCACTGAAAATGGTCAGGGTTGCCAGATGGTTATAACTAATTTCCCCCAAAGGATTTCAAAAATACCCCAAAAATCACTGTTTGTCAACTAAAATCCCCCAAATAAATATAGATTTATTCTCGACTCATACTTGCAAAAAAAAAAGACATTCGTTGAATATTTTAAAATAAAACTCATACACTTACCACTTTTTTATTTGTTTATATTTTTCTAATCCCAAAAATTTTGTTGAATACTGCCATAGCAGCCATGTTGGCTTTCTGTGCTTTGGAGGGATTTCGTGCCCTTATTCGTTTTATCTAAAAAAATCCGCCCATTGGCAACACTGGAGAAGAAGCAAACTATCTTTTTTATTGGTACTAGATTGAA